AACCAGTTTACATTTTATCTATCAATGTATGAGAGCTCTAGCTGTTCCCCATTGTTGCCAACACTTGGTGTTGTCAGTCTTATTATTTTAGCCATTTTAATGGGTGCATAATAGTATCTTATGGTGGGTTTAATTTGCATTCTCCTCTTAGCTAATAATGTTGGGCACCTTATATTTCCTATTGGCCACTTATATTTCCTCCATTACAAGGGGCTCTGCAAATCAGGCCACATGGTCTTGTCCCAGCTACTCAACTCTGCTGTTGTAGAGCAAAAGCAGCCATAGACAAGACACGAATGAATGGGCATGGCTGTGTCCCAGCACAACTTATTTATAAAAACAGGCTAGGGTGAAGGGGTAGATTTGTTAGTTGGGGCCTTAATTTTGTGACCCCTGCTATATTGCAAAATGCGGGCTCAAGACCTCTGCCCATTTTTAAATTATCTTTTTCTTACTGATTTGTACAAGTTCTCTATGAGTTCTGAATCTCAGTTTCATATTTTAATTATCATGTTCTGAAAATTAAAAAATCATAGTTGTTATAGTGGACATTACTATAGCTTTACCCTCAAGGTTTCTACTATAGAGAAGCGAAGAGATTACTGCCCCTAAGAGAAGATATTACTGTTGTCCCAGGGAGCTTCCTTCTGGGACTTGGACCCATGAGAGCTGTCTGGTGCCATCTTCCCCCAGAGTGACAGAGTGGTGACAGCAGCCCAGACCATTGTGCTATCGCCTGCACCTCTTGGGGAATCTCACTGCCTAGGACAAGCTGCGTGAACATGGCCCTGACTGCTTGGAATGGACAGTTTCCAAAAGGAACCCAAGCTTACTGTGACCAAGAATGTATGTGCCATCAGGAACTTTTTCAATCGAAGGAAATTTTCTAGTCCTTCAGACCAAAGATGGTCAAAATCGGGGAAACTGGAAGGACCCCTTTCCCATTATCAGCCAAATGCTTTTTTACATTGAACATCAGCTGATGGTGTGATTGAAGAGAAATTGCCCAACTCTTTGGTTGCTTCACTAGCAAAATCATTACTGTTTTTGCATTGGAAAACCTTTTTTCATATATGAGCTCCCCAAGAGAGCAAAAGCCATGCACAACAGAGCGCCAGGAGCCCTGGCCATTGCTTTGCCATCTCACCTGAGCAGACAGTGTGGTCTGATTTTGCAGCAAGGAAGCTGAGGCTCAGAGTAGTTCAGAGTCGATCAAGATCAGAGATTAAATCATTGATCAGCTGCAAATGCTTTACTCCAAAGTCCACGCTCTTCCCTGCTGGCTGTGCTGAGGCCTCCCCTTCATGTGAAGATGGGGCTGGGAGGGCTGTTTTAGAAAACCTGGCCAGGTCCCCTTGCTCCCTGGAAGAACCTTCTGGTCCAGAGGGAGTCAAAGGACATCACTCCGGGCTCCCCCAGCAAGCTGGCAGCAAAACTTGGATGAGAGCCCAGATCTTCTAAGTCCAAAGTCTTCCTCACATCTTCTCTATTTAAATAATTTTGACTTCACTATATCAACCATAATACAAGCTGCATAAAAACAATTCATTTTGTCTTTTTTATGCCTAAACTTAGTGTCTACAATAGCATTGAGCAATTGAGATGCTCTATTTGTTGAATAAACGGATCATAAGAAAACAAGTGGTAAGTGGTTTGACTAAGTCCTGCAAAGAAGTTCTGATGCTCATCCCACCCGCCACTCCCTCTGGGGTCTCCATCCAAGGCAGCGAGGGTCGTGGGATGTCCAGGCATCAGCCAAGACCCCGGGCCAGAAGGAAACTCACACCCCCAGGCCTCTTTTTCCTGCGCATTAATAAAATTGGTGAATGTACAATCGTTTCTTTGCTTTAAAATTACTCTAATCACAAAGAGACTTATCGAAATATGGAAAATTCCGCTTGTTTAACCCAACTTGGCTTTAGAATGCCAATTATCCTTACTTTCAGTTTTATTCATTTCCAAATATACAGCTCCCTGGAAATGTAGAAAACCTATTCTCAGCCCCTAAATGTGGGATTTATCAACCCTTGTACTGTTTATTCTTGTGCAATTAGCAACATCATTTCTGAAAAAATGACTTTCGGGACTGATAAATCTAATTGTGTCATTTTTCTTGAAGTGTCTTGCTTCTTGATGCATGCTCTCATTTTATACCCAGCTTGGTTTACGGGAAGTTTGGGTAACAGAGCTCTTATGAGTAATTAGTATCCAATTAAGCCAAGGTTTCATGTCTGTGTGAGTCAAGACTCTTTTTCCAACCTCTGGGAAGACTTAAGTAGGTCAGGCCTATGTTTACAAAGCAAGACCCAACGCTGACTGCCCTGGGCATTTTACAAGTTATTCCTAGTGGCTGGATGACTAAAGTTACTCAATGTTTTTTGCTGGCCTTTACTGCCAGTGAAAGGAACAAGACCGACCACCCAGTGGTCTAGGGCCACTCTTTGCGTTTGTCCTGTGGGAGTTTCCACAGACATCAGCTTTACCAAGAAGCTTCATCCTGTAGCAAAAGGGAGGTCACAACCCTGCCTCATGGGTGAAAAGATCATGACACTGTTCCTCCCTTCAGCAGCCCTATTTCAAACAAACAAACTGGAGTGGGAGCTTTTCTGCTGATAAGTGTTTATGTCCAATTTATCTTCTCCCATGTTCTATGACAAAAACTTCCAAATATACAGAAATGAAAACAGAAGAATATGATGACCATTTGTACACTCACTGCTTAGATTCAACAATTGTCAACATTTTGCTGAACCATTTGAAAGTGAGCTTCACTTTAAATATTTCTGCACCTATCTCCTGAGAATAAACACATTCTCTAACGCAAAGTAGCATTATAACAAAGAATGTATTTCACTTAAGTTATCAAAGTGATTGGAATAGCATTGGTCATAATATTTTCTTATTATCTTTTGAAAAATCTATAAGATCTTTTTCATCCTGATGTGTCTTCCTTCTTCTTTTCTGGATAAGTCTAGTGAAAGATTTAATTTCATCAAACAGTTTTCCCCAAGGAAACAGCTAGGGTTTTATTCATGTTATTATTATTTTTTTAATTTTTAATTTTATTGTTGTCTGCTTTTATGTTTGTTTGGTCTTTTTGATTTATAGTTCTTTTGTTTTTTTCAGAATATTATGAGGGTACAAACGTGTTGGTTACATGATCTGCTTTTGTGAAGTTTGAATCAAAGTTATATGTGTGCCCAACACCAAGATAGCATGCATTGTACCCGTTAGGTGTGAATTTATACCCCCTCCCACCTGCTTGGTTTTCGTTGAGTTTTTTACTAACATACATGCACATGAGTGTTGATCAATTAGTTCCAACTGAATAGTACATGTGGTGTTTGCTTTTCCATTCTTGTGATACTTTGCTTAGAAGAATGGTTTCCAGTTCTATCCAGATTGTTACAAATAGATCTTGGTGGTAGTAGCAGATACTCAAATGAGAATTTTGAAGGCTGAAGGCTTGCAGCCGAGGGCGGGGGCCTGGGTGGAGCCACCGCGGGTGCAGATTGTTACAAAAGGTAATAGTTTACCATTTTTTTTTTTTTTTTTTTTTGAGACAGAGTCTCGCTTTCTTGCCTAGGCTAGAGTGAGTGCCGTGGCGTCAGCCTAGCTCACAGCAACCTCAAACTCCTGGGCTCAAGTGATCCTCCTGCCTCAGCCTCCCGAGTAGCTGGGACTACAGGCACAAGCCACCATGCCCGGCTGATTTTTATATATATATATATTAGTTGGCCAATTAATTTCTTTCTATTTTTTTATGGTAGAGACGGGGTCTCGCTCAGGTTGGTTTTGAACTCCTGACCTTGAGCAATCTGCCCGCCTCGGCCTCCCAGAGTGCTAGGATTACAGGCGTGAGCCACCGCGCCCGGCCTAGTTTACCATTTTTTTTATGGCTGAGTAGTAGTACATAGTATACATATACCACATTTTATTAATCCACTCATGTATTGATGGGTTGATTCCATATCTTTTCAATTGTAAATTGTGCTGCAATGAACATCCACATGCATGTGTCTTTTTGATAAAATGATTTTTTTGGGGGGGCGGTAAATACTCAATAGGGGGATTGCTGGATCAAATGCTAGGTCTACTCTTAGTTCTTTGAGGTATCTCCATACTACTTTCCATAGAGATTGTACTAGTTTGCAGTCCCAGCAACAGTATATAAGTGTTCCCTTCTTGCCACATTAACACCTGCATCTGTTGTTTGGGGACTTTTTGATAAAAGCCAGTCTCGCTGGAGGTAAGTGATATTTCATTACAGTTTTGATTTGTATTTCCCTGATGATTAGAAACTTTGAGCATTTTTTCATATGTTTATTGGCCATTAGTCTATCTTCTTTTGAAAAGCTTTTGTTCATGTCTTTTGCCCACTTTTTTATGGGATTGTTTAATTTTTTCTTGCTGATTTGTTTAAGTTCTTTGTAGATTCTGGTTACCAGTCCTTTATCAGATGTACAGTATGCAAATATTCTCCCATTCTATAGGTTGTCTGTTCACTCTATTGATTATTTTCTTGGCTGTACAGAAGCCTTTTAATTTAATCAAGTCCCATTCATTAATTTTTGTTGTTGCTATGATTGCCTTTGAGGACTTATTCATAAATTCTTTGCCCAGGCCAATATCTAGGAGAGTTTTTCCCAACACTTTCTTCTAGAATTCTTATAGTTATGGGTCTTAGGTTTATGTCTGTTATCCATCATGTATTAATTTTTGTGAGTGGTGAGAGGTGCAGATCCTATTTCGGTCTTCTACATGTGGCTATCTAATTTTGCCAGCACCATTTATTGAATAGGGATTCTTTTCCCCAGTGTATGTATTCATGTGCTTTGTCAAAAATCAGATGGCAATGTGAGCCTGGTTTTATATCTGGGTTCTCCGTTCTGATCCATAGGCCTATGTCTCTGTTTTTGTGCCAATACCATGCTGCTTTGTTTACTATAGCCTTGTAGTATAGCTTGAAGTCAGATAAAGTGATGCCTCCCAATTCGTTCTTTTTTTTTTTAACTTTAAACAAATTTTTATTACACAAAGGTTGTCACATAATTGGATAGTTCTCTACTTTGTACACAATTATTCTTACTCTCCACAGAAAGGCTGCTTCTCTCCAACTTTTCCTAAGTCATGAGGCTGAACATCTTCAAGGTTTAGGGTCAACCCCTCTTCTCCAAACACCGCACCACCAGTAGCAATAGCCATGTCCTTAAGCTGGCTCTTTCTATTATCCCCAAAACCTGGAGCTTTGACTGCTACAACTTGAAGACCAACTTTTAACCCATTTAAAACAAGTGTACTTAGCGCTTCTCCATCAACATCTTCAGCAATTATGACCAAGGGCTTACAGTGAGCATTGGCAATTTCAAGAGCAGGTATAATTGACTGGACACTAGAAATTTTCTTTTCACTCAATAGAACATAGGCATCCTGGAATTCACATTTCTGATCTTTGATGTGTTAATAAAGTATGGAGAAATATAACCTTGATCAAATTTCATGCCTTCAATAATTTCTAATTCATCATTCAGTGTTTTTCCATCCTTTACTGTGATGACACCCTTTCTTCCAACCTTTTTCATTGCATCAGAAATGATGTTGCCAATTTCTTTGTCTCCATTTGCAGAAATCGTAGCAACCTGAGCGATTTCTTCAGGGGTTGTCACAGGTTTAGACTGCTTCTTTAGTTCAGCAATTACGGCATCAACAGCTAACATCACACCTCTCCTGATTTCCACTGGATTAGCACCTTTGCTAATCTTCTCAAAGCCTTCTTTGGCAATAGACCGTGCCAGTACAGTAGCAATGGTGGTACCATCCCCAGCCTCTTCATTTGTGTTATTGGCAACATCTTGAACAAGTTTAGCTCCAATATTTTTTTTATTTATCTTTTAAGTCAATTGACTTTGCAACAGTCACACCATCTTTTGTTACTTTGGGACTTCCCCAATTCTGTTCAATAATCACTGTTCTTCCCTTTGGCCCCATTGTAACAGCTACAGCATAGGCTAAAAGGTCTACACCTTGAAGCATTAAGGCTTGGGCATCTGCACCACATTTCACATCTTTGGCATAAGCCCGAGTGAGATGAGGAGCCAGTGCCCTGGACACAGGTCTTATCTGGCGAAGCACTGTGGGTAATCGAAGCATTTCTGAGGGGCGGCGACAGGGCATGTGCACGGCGCGGCAGGTCATCAGCGGCGAGTGAGGGACAGAGTGCAGGGTGCACACGGCAATCCCAATTCGTTCTTATTACTTGAGTTTGCTTTGGCTATTCAGGGTCTTTTCTGGTTTCATACAAAACAAAGAACTATTTTTTTCTAGGTCTGTGAAAAATGACAGTATTTTAATGGGAATTGCATTAAATCTGTAGATCACTTTGGGTAATATAGACATTTTAACAATGTTAATTCTGCCAATCCATGAGCATGATATGCTTTCCATCTGTTGACATCCTCTGCTTTTCATTTCCTCATAGTTATTCCTGTAGAGGTCTTTCACCTCTTTAGTTACATATATTCCTAGGTATTTTATTTTCTTTGTTGTTATTATGAAAGATATTGAGTCTTTGATTTGATTCTCACCTTGACTGTTGTTGGCATATATAAATTCTACTGATTTGTGTACATTAATTTTGTGACCTGAAACTTTACTGAATTTGTTTATCAATTCCAGTAGTCTCTTGGAAGAATCTTTGGGGTTTTCCAGATATAAGATCATATCATCAGCAAAGAATGATAGTTTGACCTCTTCTTTCCCTATTTGGATACCCTTGATTTCCTTCTTTTGTCTCAGTGCTATGGCTAGGACTTCCAGCACTATGTTGAATAGAAGTAGTGATAGTTGGCAACTTTGTCTGGTTCCAGTTTTAAGCAGGAATGCTTTCACTTTTTACCCATTCAGTATGATGTTGGCTGTGGGTTTGTCGTATATGGTTTTTATTATTTTGAGGTAAGTCCCATCTATGCTTATTTTTTTTTTTTTTTTTTTTTGAGACAGAGTCTCGCTTTGTTGCCCAGGCTAGAGTGAGTGCCATGGCGTCAGCCTGGCTCACAGCAACCTTAAACTCCTGGGCTCCAGTGATTCTCCTGCCTCAGCCTCCCCAAGTAGCTGGGACTACAGGCATGCGCCACCATGCCCGGCTAATTTTTTCTATATATATTAGTTGGCCAATTAATTTCTTTGTATTTTTTATAATAGAAACGGGGTCTCACTCTTGCTCAGGCTGGTTTCGAACTCCTGACCTCGAGCAATCCGCCCGCCTCAGCCTCCCAGAGAGCTCGGATTACAGGCGTGAGCCACCACACCCGGCTTATGCTTATTTTCTTAAGCATTCTTATCATAAAAAGATGCTGGATTTTGTTAAATACTTTTTCTGCATCTATTGAGAGGATCATGTTTATGTGGTCTTTGTTTTTGCTCCTTTTTATATGGTGAATTATATTTATAGATTTGTGTATGTTGAACCATCCTTGCATCTCTGATATGAAACCCACTTGGTTGTGGTGGGTTATTTTTTTGATGTGCAGCTGAATTCAGTTTGCTAGAATTTGACTAAGAATTTTTGAATCTATATTCATAAGGGATATTGGTCTGTAATTTTCTTTTTGTGTGTGTGTCCATTCCTGGCTCTGGTATCAAGGTGATATTGGTTTCATAAAATGAGTTGGAGAGGATTCCTTTCTTCTCAATATTATGGAATAATTTCTGCAGTATAGGTACCAGTTATTCTTTGAAGGTCTTATAAAATATGGCTATGAAACCATCTGGTCTGGAACTTTTTTGTTGGAAGATTTTTTTATTGCTACTTCAATTTTGATACTTGATATTGGTCTGTTCAAGGATTTATTTCTTCCTGACTGAGCCTGGGGAGGCCATGTGCTTCCAAGAATTTATCCATTTCTTCCATGTTTTCAAGTTTATGTGCATAGAGATTTTTTATAGTATTCAGAGATGATATTTTGTATTTATATGTGGTATCAGTTGTCATTTCTCCTTTTTAATTTCTGTTGAGCTTATTAGAATCCTTTCTTTTCTGCTTCTGGTTAATCTAACTAGAGGCCTGTCAATTTTATTTATCTTCTCAAAGAACCAACTTTTTGTTTCATTCATCTTTTATGTAATTCTGTGGGCATTGATTTTTTTTTTTGGCTCTGTTCTGATCTTGGTTATTTCTTTTCTTCTGCTGGGTTTGGGATTAGTTTGTCTTCCTTTTCCAGTTCCTTGAGATGATTCATAAATTATTGATTTATAATCTTTCTGTCTTTTGGATGTAGGCATTTAGGGATAGGAATTTTCCTCTCAGAACTGCTTTAGATGCATTCCACAGATTTACTAACTTGTGTCACCTTTACCATTTAGTTTGAAGAATCTTTTGATTTCCTTCTTAATTTCCTCCTTAATCCAGCTATCATTCAGCAGTAGGTTGTTTAGTTTCCATGATTTTGTGTGTAGATGAGTTTTCTGTTGGAATTGATTTCTAATTTTATTCCATTGTGGTCTGAGAAGATAAATGATATAATTCTATTTAAAAAAATTTTTTTAGACATGTTTTGTGGCCTAGGATGTGACCAATCTAAGAGAGAATGTTCCATGAGCTGATGAGAAGTACATACACTTAGTGGTTTTGGGGTAGAATGTTTTATACATGGCTGTTAGGCCCATTTGTTCTAGAGTTCTATTTAAGTCCATTGTTTCTTTGTTTATCTTCTGTTTGGAGGATCTGTCCCCATTCTGTCAATGGGGTGTTGAAGTCCCTGGATATTACAGTGCTGCTATTTTTCATTTTGTTTAGATCAAGGAAAATTTGCTTTATGAACCTGGGTACTCCTTTGTTAGGTGTGTAAATATTTAGAATTATTATGTCTTCTTATTGAATGGTTCCCTTTGCCATGATATAATGACCATTTTTTGTCTTTCTTTACTTTTGTTGATTTGAAGTCTATGTTATCTGATCTGAGAACAGCTATACCAGCTTTATTTTGATTTCCATTTTTATGGAATATTGTTTTCCATCCCTTCACCTTGATTCTAAATGAGTCCTTATGGGTTAGATGTGTTTCCTGAAGACATCAGATACTTGGCTTGTGTTTATGTGTGTGTGTGTGTGTGTGTGTGTGTGTTTTATCCATTCAGCCAGCCTATGTCTCTTCAGTGGGGAGTTCAAGCCATTCACATTCATTGAAAGAATTGATAAGAGGGGTGGATTTCTGTTCATCCTGTTGAGTAGAACTTTACCTGGGCTCTGACTTTTAGCTTTGGGGTGGTTTTACACTGGTGGGTGTATATCATGTTGATCTGTGTATAATGCAATTCTGAGTACCTGAGTACTTCTTGCAGGGCAGGTCTGGTCTTGACAAATCCCCTTGTTTGCTTGTCTGAAAATGTATTTATTTCTCCCTCATATAAGAAACTCAGTTTTACAGGATACGAGATTCTAGGCTGGCCATTATTTTGTTTGGGAAGACTCAGATGGGGCCCTAATTCCTTCTGGCTTGCAAGGTCTCAGTTGAGAAGTCTGTGATTAATCTGATAGGTTTTCCTTTGTAAGTTCCCTGATATATTTGCCTTGCACCTTGTAGGAGTGCCTCTTTTGTATTTTTTTTTTTTTTTTTTTTTTGGCAAATCTAATGACTGTGTGTTGTGGTGATTGCCTCTTTGTGATGAATTTCCCAGGAGTCCTTTGAGCTTCTTGTATCCGGATATCTAGATTTCTAGCAAGGCCAGAGAAATTTTCCTTGGTTAGTCCCTCAAATAGATTTTCCAACCCTTCTTTGCCCTGAGGCAAATATTTTCTTCTTTGCCTCAGGGATGCCTTGATTCTTATGTTTGGCCTTTTTACATAATCCCACATTTCTTGTAGGTTTTGCTCATTCCTCTTATGTCTCTATTCTTTCTCTTCAACTGACTTGTTTAGCTCAAAAGAGTTATCTTTAAGCTCTGAGATTCTTTCTTCTGCCTGATCTAGCCTAATGTGAAGGCTTTTCACTGCTTTCTAAACCCTTGAATGAATTTTTCATTTCCAGAAGTTCTGTTTGGTTTTTTGTTTAATAAGTCAGTTTCTTTAGAGAATTTTTCATTCATTCCTCATTGTTTTCGTGACTTCTTTTTATTGGGTTTCTATTTTCTCTTGTATTTCATTGAACTTCCTAATAATCCATATTCTAAATTCTTTATCTGTCTTTTTAATCTTTTCATTTAGGTTAGTTTCCACTGACAAGGAGTTATTGTTTTCTTTTGGGGGTGTCCTTTCTCTTTGATTTTTCATATTTTTATAGTTCTTTCACTGGTTCCTTCTCATCAGTCCTCTTAATTGAGAACTCAGGGTGCTAGGGCTGGCTTATGGACCTGTCTCTGAGACACTGAAGATCAGTCCCTCACCATGTCAGGGACAGGAGTGCTGTTCCTGAGTTGCATTTGGGATGCTTTAGCAGGTTTGATGAAACTCTGGTGTTACACAGCTGTGGTGGCTCCACTCTCAATGGTGGATTCAGCTGGGAATGCACCCCCATGACAGAGAAACAGGCTTCTTAGCACCAAGAATTATCGTGGTTGCTATGGGAAGGAGGGGCCACTGGTCTCATTGCACCACTCTTGTGACCTACTGGCACCAGGTCCTGCTCAGCTGTCCAAGTCGCCAGCAGGTGATCCCACAAAACACCACTGCAGTGGCTTCACTCTCAGGAGAAGGCTCAGTTGGGAACATGCTCCACCACAGAGAAACAGGCTTCTCAGAACACAGCACTCTCGTGGTTGCTGTTGGGGGAAGGGGGATTACAGTATAAGCCATCTTGAGCTAAAATTACCTTTCTGTGATGCCAGGAATGGAGGAGGTTCAGAGGAGAAGGTTTTTAGGTGTGAGAATGCTGGCTGTCTGTTCTCTCATGGCACTCTCCCAGGGGGTGAGAGATCTGTGTCCCACTGCTCACTAGAGTCATGCACGTGGGGGAGGAGAGCCTCTGTTACCCTTTCACTGGGCTCTTGGCCTCTATGCATTTGGCCCATGCTGCCATCCTCTCTTCTCTCTCATCCTCTGTCTCAGCTTCACAGCCCTTCTCAGTGGAGTCCCCAGAGGCCTATACCGTCTCTCCCTGTGATCCACACTAAAGCCGCAATTTTTCTCCATTCTCCTCAGTCCAATCTTCTACCCTTTAGCCAGAAACAATCTGACAAGGTAGTTCTCTAGTCGGCCATCTTGGCTTTTTTGCTTTTTTTCGCATCTTGGCGGTTTT